CTAACAATCCCCTTTTCCCACTATTTGTAGTATTGTGCTGAGTTGGTTGCCTCTTCATCTTTGCGAGACATATTATCTCCATTTTTGCATTCATACCTCCATTTTTTTATTTGTAAAATTTCTATTTCTATATCTCATGTATGCTACATGTTTGTAATTAATGAATAAAACATTTATCTATCTATTTTATCGATACTTTAATTTGTTATCTGTCGTGTAAAATAATGGTAGTGTGTGTATAATGTTTTTTTGTTAAATTAAATGCTTTTATTGATAATTAAAAAAAATTGCTATTGCTCTCCTTCCCTATATGAAGTATAAGTGTGCGAAATTTCATAAAGGGCAATTTTTTTCGCTGCTATATATAATAATAACACTTTATTTAGTACACATGCCGCATTGTTAGAAAATTTCTACAAAAAGATTAGGCCAACATTTATATTATAGTATATTCACCTAAAAATAGAACATTGTTATGTACTTGGCTTAGGCCCGTACATACCAAGATTACCGGCGAAAGTCAAGAGGAAAAATAATTATAATAATAATCTCAGGACAATTCACACAGCGCCATCTAGACCCAAATTAAGGTAGCTAAAGCTTGTGTTATGGGTATTAGACAACTGATACAAATACGTAGGTACCTACATCTTTTTTTTTCGTAAATACTGTATGTATTATACATAGAAAACACCCAGACCGATACAAACAATCATACTCATGAATATAAATGTTTGTGCAGTGTGAGGAATCGAACCCGATACCATCGGAAGTAAGGCGGTGTGCTAAACCGCTGGACCACCGAGGCCGTCAATATCTAGTAAAAAATAACTTTATTTGCGGACATCATTATAATTTCAACAACAATTTTGCTTCATCTGCCTCACACTTACTTGATTGTCTAGTACCCATAACACAAGCTTTAGCTAGCTTAACTTGGGTCTAAATGGCGCTGTGTAAACGGTTCCGAGATGATTATTATTATTATTATTATTGTTGTTGTTATAAAATAAAACTGTCCAAGTTATGACTTTGAGAAGTCTGCCACGACAGGTACAATCCACTAACAAGGGTCACGTCACCAAACAATGACACCAACGTTGGTCCCGTCAGATTCAGTAGCAGAATGATTTTCTAAATCTTTTTGTATATTATAACTATAATATAACTTAAGCGGATTATTCATGTTTCAAAATGTTTTAATCGTGTTTCCTTTTTTTACCTGGACAGCCTCGGTGATCTAGCGGTTTAGCATAGATGCCGCTTTGCTTCCGATGGATTTACACAAAGAACTATGTTTATGAGTACCGAATTTGTGTTTCGAAGAAGAATAAAAAGGTTTGTCTATTCAAAAGTACTTATATTAAGATTATTTAAATATAAAAGATTTCTAATTCTGGAAACTCAATTTTATGTATGTTCACATTTTTACACCTGGCGTATATCGATGTTTTATATCGACGATATGTTATTTTGCTGTTTGTTTTTTAATAGGCGCTGTTTAATTCAATTATTGTTACATTAAAATATATCGGCTTTTTTGTTTGTTTATACTAGTGATTGACCAGTGGTAGAAATTTGATCATAGTTAATTTAAATTATAGGTTTGAATAATAATAAGGTTCTATTCTCAAAGACTATGTAAGTTTTTTTTATTTATGTATGTGTATGTGCAATTTTCTTAAAAAAATGGATACAATTTTTGCTTCTTGTATTAATATGTACCTAAATGTCTTAATACAACGATTGTGGTATCAGTATATCTTCGATAGAAGAATATGTAACTTGTGGACTGTGATCAACGTTCTTTATATGTACCTATAGAAGTGGAGAAGGTTTTTTTGTATTTTCAATGACTAGTTAACCCGCCCAACTTTGTCTGCATCACACTTACACGATATTTATCATTATATTTCGCCCTATTTACATAATATCTTTTAAAATTATAGCCTATTTGTCATTCTGATGTATAAGCTATATTACTGTAAAGTTATATCAAAATACTTTCGGTAGTTTTTGCGTGAAAGAGTAATAACCATTCATACTCACAAATTTCGCGTTTATAATATTACTTGCGACTAGCGATTCACCCGGCTTCGCACGAGTACAATGCTGATACTAAATATAACTACCTGTTTGTTTACAACATCACATTAGAAACCTCTAAATTTACCAGTGTTTCTCTACAATATAATACATGTATTATATACATAAACCTTCCTCTTGAATCACCCTATGTATTAAAAATAACCGCTTCAAAATCCGTTGCGTAGTTTTAAAGATTTAAGCATACATAGGGAAAGATAGCGACACCAACTTTGTTTTATACTATGTAGTGATTAGCTCCACCGACAAGAGCGTAGCTCTTAAATTATGAATGAATGAATGAATGAGTGATTAAGATATAACTGTAGACGGTAAATATATATTTGTAGACGAGTACAGGCTATCGTAAATGTATATTCGGGTATTGGTTTATAATCACAACCACAGATAACATAATATTACATAATCACAACTGACATGTCAAATGAATCGGCTGTCTCTAAATTACAATAGCTTACATTCATCTTTTAATCGTTTCTTTAAATTACACTGACATTAATATTTTCCCTTTTTTTAGTAACACTTTTCCTCGAAGCTCGGCTCCTGTAGGTCGTAGCGTGATGTTATAGAAACTAAAATATTTCTCGATAAATGAGCTATTTTATTTATTTTTTACTAGCTGTTCTCGCGACTTCTTCCGCGTGAAATTTAACTTTATTTTTTTTTAAATAAAAGTAGCCTAAGTTACTCCTTATTACATCAGCTATCTGCCAAAAGAAGTCCCGTCAAAATCGGTCCAGCCATTTCAGAGATTAACCGGAACAAACAGACAGACAGATAAAATTGTAAAAAAAAATATTTTGGTGTATATACCTTATTTATATTCATATGCATGTAAAAAATGGTTATTTCAATATTACAAACAGACATTCCAATTTTATTTATATGTATCGATTTATTCATTTATTTCAGGCAACTAGGCCCATATTATACTTACCTTATAGACTAACATACATATAATTTCATATTTAAAAACTAATATATTGATATTGTGTGTGTGGTCACGGCACTGAAGACGGCAATCTGCCACGGTAGTGCCGATATACCACACCATTCGGCCAGTAGTCCACCTTCATGAAGGTGGGCAGCATGTTGGTGGGGACCAGACTATGTAAGACTAAAAGAATTTTCAAAAACGGTCCAGTATATCTAGAGATTATATTAAACTAGATAATAAAAATGTAATGTAGACACGAGAAAATAAAATCTTATGAATAAATAATCTCAGGACAATTCACACAGCGCCATCTAGACCCAAGTTAAGCTAGCTAAAGCTTGTGTTATAGGTACTAGATAACTGATACATATACATAGATATTTTTTTTTAAATACATACATATTATACGTAGAAAACACCCAGACCGATACAAACAATCATACTCATGAATACAAATGTTTGTGCCGTGCGAGGAATCATACTCGCGACCATCGGTCGTAAAGAGGTGTTCTAGATCACTAGACCACCGAGGACGTCGAAATGAAGAAGAAATAAAAAAGTTGAAGGAGTGGTCTATGTCGACAAAAAGACCCTACAAATAAAAAAAAACTGATCAGTTACTCATTGTTGTTAAATAAATCAAGTGACATTTGCAGAAGATATTGCTCCATTTTTGATTCTTCCTGATAAATTGCATTTTCCGCATTCCGCTGAATAAAAAAAAATCTAGTACTGAATTTGCTTACAAAAAGTTTTTATTGACTTGAATTTTAAAAACAGGTTGTATCTCCACAAACAGTCTTAAACAAGTTACATTCTTAAATCAATAAAGTCAATAAATTTATATTCCACTACGACGATAACCGTTTACCATCAGATGGGCCGCTCGCTTACCACCTATGTGGTATAAAAAAAAAAGCATTGTAAAAAAAATGGAATACAAAGTAAAAAATATATTCCAGTTGGAATTAACTGGAATTAGGTTCATTTTACTTGATTGATTGAATCTGCCAATCCTGAATTTGTTTGTTTGTCACGTCATTACTCATCATCACAGTTTAAACCTATTATTTACAGCAGAAGAACATCAGCTACTCTTTAGTCAGGCATAAAAATCTATTAGTCTATATTATAAAAAACATATTTAATTTCTTATTTATGAGCAACTAGCTATTCGTCCTGGCTTCGCACGGGTGTACATGTATTACATATATAAACATCACTCTATCTGTTGCTAAAACAGCTTTAACCGTTGTGTAGTTTAAAAGATTAAAGCAAACAGACAGTAGAAATGATTTCATTTTATACTGTGTAAAAGATATTAGATTGTTTTTATACATACAGAAAAAGAAATTATGGTGAAAGTAGATGTAGTAAGGTAAGATCACACATCTTCTAGTAACGGATTTTATTGTAGTGATATATGAGTTATATGTTCTGATAATCAGGATTCTGTTGCACAGAATCATAAATCTGATTGCGCAAAGAATGTACAGCAGTTTCTATGTTGATTGTCGCATGCCTCGTCCTTGTTAATGTGTATTTACTTAAAAGAGCAATACGCAAGTTTCTTACTTATTCTTCTCGTGCTGAACTTGCGCTTCGAATCATTGGTAGAATAAAAAAATATGTTTTTTTTAATGTGTTTATATTAAGTTTATTTGGATAAATATATATTATAGCTGGCTCATCCGTCATACTCGTGAACGGGTGCTGCTTGTGGGGACTAGTCTGTTCGGGTTACAAACACTGATTAGACTTTTAAAATTACAATAGCACATGCTGGTAGTCACTCTATTCTCATAAATTTGAATTTAAAAATGAATCTGTATTATTATAAACAATAATTGAAAACAATACGAGCTGAGTTTCTTGTCAGTTCTTCTCATCTCGAAATCATTCCGTAGATTTGACATATCAGTCTGTAATAGACCTACATGAATAAAGATATTATGATTTAAAGATTTCTATAGTTGTAGCCGTTATGCATTGATGGGATCTAGCATTTGACAATTGATTAGGTTCTATTACTAAATGGCTGTTAAATTATCTAATACTTTATTTACAAAATTATTTCTAATTATCTATATTTGAATCATTCGGCGTCGGTCCTCCGGACCACTGCCTCGAAGCCGCGCTTCTCATCAGCCGTGTATTCAACGAGACGCTGTTTGCCATCCGGGTCTATGAAGCTGTAAAAACCACGGACCTTGTCGCCGTCTCGCGTCTCCTGGGCAGCTTTATTGTCACCCGTCTTTCTATCCTGAAATATAAAACAAGTAAACTATACATAGCTGTTATATATACTATTGGCGAAGATTATTAATTGGCATAGGACAATTTTACATGACAAGAAAAAAAATAATAAATAAATAAAAAAAAAAAATCACACGGGGGTTGAAAATACGTTTTTTTTTATTTCTTTATGGATGATAATGGAATGGTGCACCCGCCTGCGCTAACGGTTTACGCTGGCGGGCACCAGTGGAGGATGATAGGAACATGAAGTGAGATCAAAAAAGTAGCCTAAGTTACTACTTATTACATCAACCAATATATTACATTACCAATAAAAGTGCCGTCAAATTCGGTCCAGCCCTTTCAGAGATCAGCCACAACAAACAGATAGACAGACAAAAATTGTAAAAAATGTTATTTTAGTGTATTTACCGTATTTATATACATATGCATGTAGTAAAATGTTATTTCAATATTACTCCAATTTTATTTATATGTTATACATATAAATAAAATTGGAGTGTCTGTTTGTAATATTGAAATAACAGTTTTTTACTACATGCATATTACTAACTAAGTAAATTAACGCGATGTGTTACTAACAGCAAATATAAATTACAATACATATCAATTTCGTTTCATAACCGTTTGAATGACCTTGCATGTATATACTATTTACTTGTTTTTGGTGCTTATTACGATGCCTTAAGCACTATTTTGTAATTGGTAATGGTAGTGTGAGGGACAAGTTCAACGCAAGGTCGCTATTGGGAATATTACGTGCGCGCGCGCATGTATTAACGATCAATGGTTTAAATTGAACTATCGAATTTTACACGTCACGTGACAAACAATTTAAATATTTCCTACTCTATATCAATTGTTTAGACATATTGATTGGAATTATACGACTTCCGCATTTATTTTAAAATGAAAATTAATTAAAAAAACATATATTTATATTTACGTCATTTAACATTGTATATATTTAGGCCACGAAATGCATGTTAGTAATTTACAGATAATAATAATCATTTTCAGCATATACACTTTCACACTGTTTAGCATATCGCTTTACTTCTGATGATCGCGGATTCGATTCCTCGCACGATACAAACATTTGTATTCATGAGTATGGTTGTTTGTATCGGTCTGGGTGCTTTCGATATATATAATGTATGTATTTACAAAAAAAAGTATCTAAGTATTTATATCGGTTGTCTAGTATCGATTACAAAACCTCTGCTTAGCTTGGGACTAGATGGCGCTATGTGAATTGTCCAGGGTCATTATTATCATTAAGATCTATTGTTACTAGGCAGACTGGGCGGCAATAATTTGTAATTGCCGAGTATATACTTAATGAACGCTATGTTGCGTAACGACCACACCTCCAGATTGCGTACTTAATCATATTTCCTACGCCAGTCGTTCTCAAACTTATTTGTAACACACACAAAATTATAAATAATGAAAAGAAAATTAAATAAAGTTAATAAAAAAAGACGAAATTGTCTGTAGACATTGACCACGAATTAATTACTGATTAGCCTTTTTAATTAATAATAGTCATAATAGACATTAAACTAAATCATATAAATGTAAACTTCTACATTTGTTCATAAAACGAACTTATGAACTGAGAAATGAGATGAAACTGATATTGTTTGTATCGGTCATCAGGTTGTTTTATGTATGTTTCATGATTTATGTTATGTATGTGTTTACAAAAAAAAACACTAAGTATATCTATTAGTTCTCAATACCCATAACACAAACTCTGTTTAGCTTGGTACTAGATGGCGCTGTATAAATAGTCCAAGGATATTATTATATTATAACTATCATTTAAAATAGCCAGACGCAATTCACGCTTTGGAAAACACTGTACTGTACTATCCAGCTAAGGTTACATTCACACATCGCTACATACCTTTCCCGTAACCTCCATTGCCGCTTACGTGACGTTGAACTTGGACGTGCCACTACAGTACCCAGTAATGTACTCTAATTGCTAATTTACATATCGACAATAGTCGCAAAAAATGTTCTGATTTCGTTAACATTTTGCAATTACCGATTGTGGTTTTAAGTAGTGGATTGTTTGCAATAGGTGGTGTTATCTTTGTAAGTACAACTGTATTTATAGAGTTTCGTTATTATGTGACCGACATAGCCCGAAGAATTGCGACTTTGAAGTGGCAATGGGCAGGGCACATAGATCGTAGGACAGATGGCCGTTGGGGCAGTAAAGTCCTCGAGTGGCGACCACGGACCGGAAGACGCAGCGTGGGAAGGCCTCCAGCAAGGTGGACCGACGATCTGGTCAAGATCGCGGGAAGGCATTGGATGCGAGCAGCGCAGGACCGATCGTCGTGGAGATCTTTGGGGGAGGCCTATGTCCAGCAGTGGACGTCTTCCGGGCTGCGATGATGATGATGATGATGATATTCGTTACATATATATATATATATATATATATATATATATATTATGTATGAAATGGAATGGGGCACCCTCCTGCGCTAACGTTGCTTTACGCTGGCGGGGCACCAGTGGAGGGTGATAAGATGAGCATGTCAGTTGTTAGCCCATCGTAAATTCACCAAGAATTTATCACGATGGTTTCCAGGGGGAACCGCGTGGAGGTCAACCTGACATGATACATTGCTAGCAATAAGATCATCAGTCCACAGAAAAATACCCATTGAAAGGGGCACACAATTTATTCATATAATATTTGTATCAGTCTGGGTGTTTTCTATGTATCTTATAGATGTATTTTCCATAAAACTAAGTGTTTATATCAATTGTCTAGTACCAACACACAAGCTTTGCTTAGCGTGAGACTAGATGGCGCTGTGTTAATTGTACAAGGTTATTTTTTTATCTATACATATAAATAAAATTGGAGTGTCTGTTTGTAATATTGAAATAACCGTTTTTTACTACTTGCATGTGAATATAAATACACTAAAATAACATTTAAAATAATTACAATTTTTGTCTGTCTGTCTGTTCCGGCTAATCTCTAAAATGGCTGTGCCGATTTTGACGGGACTCTTTTTAGCAGGTATTCGATGTAATAAGGAGTAACTTAGGCTAATTTTATTTTAGGAAGATTCTTTCGTTTTAGACAAATAAAGTTAAATTCCACGACGACGAGGTCGCGGGAATAGCTAGTTTATAATATAAAAAGAAAGTTCTGTAGCAGTAGACAATAGAACCTTAATAATGTTCAAACTTATAATTTAAGTTAATTATACACGTATCGTGAACAACAATTGATTTATAACTGATATGATCCGAGTTACGATACTATCATTCGAGATCTTAGCAAATTGATTGAAAACTTTAAATCTATCGCACTGACAATATTATCTGATTACATTAATAATGAGTGCGTAGCGACTTCTATGTTAATTATCGCATGCCTCTTACTTGTTATACTGTAATTATTTATATAAAAAAAACATCTATTAAAAAGAGCAACACACAAGTTTCTTGCTCGTTCTTCTTGTGATGAATCTGCATTCCGAATGAGTGGTAGAATCAAAATATGACTATTCAAAAGTGCTTGTAATGAGTTTATTTGAATAAAGATTATTTCTATTTCTATTTCTGATTCTTTTCGATCTGTAACAGTTACAATAAACTCGTGAGAACCGCTTTGTTGTATCGATTGTAATATCGATTATGTGTCATTAACCTGTCACTCGATATCTCGATTACATACCTTAGTAGTTATAGTATTTGTGAATGACCTCGAATATGTAGGTTCGAGTTTTGACATAGAATTAGCTAGCACTGTACAGTATCTGTGTTGCTAGGTAAAGTTAGTTTTGGTTATTTTCTATCCAAATTTTTTTTCTGCTGATTTTAAATTAATGTAATGATGCTCTAATGCTGTTGGCCGCAGCTGGCCTTTACAGCTTCACCGGACGATAGGGGGCGAGTGCAGATGGCACTCCAAACCATAGGAAGGACTTATGGAGCAGCCGAAGGTCAACTCACGCCTGACTGATACGACTTTAGGCTAAGGGTACCTTTAGGGATTCGAAGGTAACCTCAGGCCGTTGTAATTTCGATCCCTGTTTGAAATGGGCAGGGGATCGATCAGAGGGGATGATGTAAGGATGATATACCATCGTACGTTGCTGTAGAACATTCCATTGTATACAGCATGATATATGTATTATTTACTAGCTGTGCCCGCCTATATGTTATTCTGATCTATAAGCTATATTACTGTAAAGTTTAATCAAAATTTTTGCGTGAAAGTGTAAAAAACATCACGTTTATAAGGTTAGTGATTTTTTATTTTATTTAGGTACAATATATATTTTGCAGTATATGCTTAAATTGTACGGTGAAACCCCGCTCCCTGTATAAAAAAATGTAATACATTAATAACGACCTCGGTGGTCTAGCGGTCTAGCACACCGCTTTACGTCCGATGGTTGCGGGTTCGATTCCTCGCACGGCACAAACATTTGTATTCATGAGTATGATTGTTTGTATCGGTCTGGGTGTTTTCTATGTATAATATGTATGTATTTACGAAAAAAAAATTATCTATGTACGTGTAGAAGTTATCTAGTACCCGTAACACAAGCTTTAGGTAGTTTTACTCGGGTCTAGATGGCGCTGTGTGAATTGTTCTGAGATTATTATTATTATTATTAATTAAAATATATATATATTTATGTATATTGAGTAAAATGTGTGACAATAAATTCTAAACGAGTGAAAGTAATACCCCCACTACATAATTGGGCACGGTCTGCACTGTGAAAGCGTAGGTTGGTTTCTGCATTATAATATAGTTTTAACAAATATACATTCAACAAACTATATTTAAAATGCATATGTATTCCCTATCACTGGAACGGATGGTGTAATTGCATTGGTAATTCTCGAGGTTGTTAACAAAAATGACAATTTATTCTTTTGTTATTGGTGCTTCCATCACCGGAGAGTTAATCATTGTGCGATCAGTGGTTGTGATCATTTTTAGATTATTAT